ACCCCCTCTGCTTCCCCCCTCTGGCAGTTTGCTTGCCAGAGGAACAAGCCATCCTCAGATCCATCTCTACCATCCCATTCATGAGGGTTGTTGTTGTTCAGTCGCACAGTCGAGTCCGACTCTTCGCGACCCCATGGACCAGCTCCCGCCAGGCCTTCCGGTCTTCCGCCATCCTCTGAAGTTTGCTCAACTTCATGTTCGTTGCATCGATGACACTGTCTAACTATCTCATCCTTTGCCATCCCCGTCTTCTTTGACCTTCAATCTTTCCCAGCATCAGGGTCTTCTCCAGTGAGCGCTCCCTTCTCGTCTGGTGGCCAAAGTATTTGAGCTTCAGTTTCATTATCTGGCCTTCCAGGGAACAGTCAGGGTTGATTTCTTTGAGGATTGACTGATTTGATCTCCTTGCAGTCCAAGGGACTCTCAAGAGTCTTCTCCAGCACCATAGTTCAAAAGAATCTATTCTTCTGTGCTAGGCCTTCCTTATAGTCCAACTCTCGCAGCCATACATGACTACTGGGAATAACATTGCTTTGACCATGCGGACTTTTGTTGGCAGGGTGATGTCTCTACTTTTTATCATGCTGTTTAGGTTCGCCATCGCTTTCCTCCCAAGGAGCAGGCGTCTTTTAATTTCATGACTGCTGTCACAGTCTGCGGTGATCTGGGATCCCAGGAACGTGAAGTCTGTCACTACTTCCACGACTTCCCCTTCTATTTGCCAAGGAGTGATGGGGCCGGATGCCATGATCTTAGTTTTTTTGATGTTGAGCTTCAAGCCCACTTTTGCGCTCTCCTCTTTTACCCTGAGCAAGAGGCTCTTGAGGTCCTCTTCACTTTCTGCCATCAGAGTGGTATCGTCTGCATATCTGAGGTTGTTGATCTTTTCCCCAGCAATCTTAATTCCCACTTGTGATTCATCCAGGCCAGCATTTCGCATGATGTACTCTGCATATATATTAAATAAGCAAGGCGACAATATACATCCTTGTCGTACTCCTTTTCCTATGCTGAACCAATCAGTTGTTCCATATCCGGTTCTAACTGTCGCTTCTTGGCCCTTATACAGGTTTCTCAAGAGACATGTGAGGTGGTCTGGTACTCCCATCTCTTTAAGGCCCTGCCATAGTTTGTTGTGATCCACACAGTCAAAAGCTTTAGCATAGTCAATGAAGCAGAAGTAGATATTTTTCTGGTACTCTCTTGCTTTCTCCATAATCCAGCGAATGTTGGCAATTTGATCTCTAGTTCCTCTACCTCTTCGAAACCCAGCTTGTACTTCTGGTAGTTCTCTATCCACGTACTGTTGAAGCCTAGCTTGTAGGATCTTGAGCATGACCTTGCTAGCGTGTGATATGAGTGCAATTGTGCGATAGTTTGAACATTCCTTGGCATTGCCCTTCTTTGGGATTGGAATGTATACTGACCTTTTCCAATCCTGTGGCCACTGTTGCGTTTTCCAAATTTGCTGGCAAATGGAGTGCAGAACTTTAACAGCATCCTCTTCTAAGACTTTGAATAGCTCAGCTGGGATACCATCACCTCCACTAGCTTTGTTGTTAGTAATGCTTTCTAAGGCCCATTTAACTTCACATTCCAGGATGTCTGGCTCGAGGTCAGTGATTATACCGTCGTGGTTGTCAAGGACATCGAGGTCTTTCTTGTATAGTTCTTCTGTGTATTCTTGCCATCTTTTCCTAATCTCTTCTGCTTCTGTTAGGTCCCTACCGTTTTTGTCCTTTATCATGGCCAGCTTTGCATGGAACGCTCCCTTGATTTCTCCAACTTTCTTGAAGAGATCTCTAGTCCTTCCCATTCTATTGTTTTCTTCTATTACTTTGCACTGTTCATTCAGGAAGGCCTCCTTATCTCTCCTTGCTGTTCTCTGGAAATCTGCGTTCAGTTGGGTAAATCTTTCCTTTTCGCCTTTGCCTTTCGCTTTCCTTCTTTCCTCTGCTATTTGTAAAGCCTCATCAGAAAGCCACTTTGCTTTCTTACATTTCTTTTTCTTTGGGATGGTGGTGATTGCTGCCTCCTGTACGATGTCACGAACCTCTGTCCATAGTTCTTCAGGCACTCTATCTATCAAATCCAGACCCTTGAATCTATTCTTCACCTCTACTGTATATTCATCAGGGATGCGATCTAGGTCAAACCTGAATGGCCTCGTGGTTTTCCCAATTTTCTTCAGTTTAAGTCTGAATTTTGCAATGAGTAGCTCATGATCTGAACCACAGTCAGCTCCAGGTCTTGTTTTTACTGACTGGATAGAGCTTCTCCATCTTTGACTGCAAATTATATAGTCAATCTGATTTCGGTGTTGCCCATCTGGTGATGTCCATGTGTAGAGTCGCCTCTTAGGTTGTTGGAAAAGGGTGTTCGCTATGACCAGTGTGTTCTCTTGACAAAACTCTGTTAACCTTTGCCCTGCTTCATTTTGCTTTCCAAGGCCAAACTTGTCTGTTATTCCAGTTACCTTTTGACTTCCTACTTTAGCATTCCAGTCCCCTATGATGATGAGGACATCATTTTTTGGTGTTAGTTCTAGGAGGTGTTGTAGGTCTTCATAGAACCGGTCCACTTCAGCCTCTTCTGCATCAGTGGTTGGGGCATACACTTGAATTACTGTGATGTTGAATGGTTTGCCTTGGAATCGGACAGAAATCATTCTGTCATTTTTGAGATTGTATCCCAGTACTGCCTTTTGCACTCTCTTGTTGACTATAAAGGCCACACCATTTTTTCTACGAGATTCCTGGCCACAGTAGTAGATATAATGGTCTTCTGAGTTAAATTCGCCCATTCCTGTCCACTTTAGTTCACTGATTCCTAGGATATCGATGTTCAGTCTTGCCATCTCATTTTTGACCACGTCAAGCTTACCTTGATTCATAGATCTTACATTCCAGGTTCCTATGCAGTATTGTTCTTTGCAGCATCGGACTTTCCTTTCACCATCAGACACATCCACAACTGAGCGTCCTTTCGGCTTTGGCCCAGCCGCTTCACTCTTTCTGGGGTTACTTGTACTTGTCCTCTGCTCTTCCTCAGTAGCATATTGGACACCTTCCGACCTGAGGGGCTCATCTTCCGGCGTCATATCTTTTAGCCTTTTGATACCGTCCATGGGGTTTTCTTGGCAAACATACTGGAGTGGGTTGCCATTACCTTCTCCAGGTGGATCACGCTTGGTCTGAGTTCTCTGCTGTGGCCTGTCCGTCTTGGGTGGCCCTTCACGGCATAGCCCACAGCTTCATGAGGGTTACTACTACTCAGGTTCCCCCATGGAGTGAAGCAAAGAGTATGAGAGAGCCCTTCTGGCTGGTTCATGGCAGGGTGGATACCCCTTTCCCCAGCTGCCTCTCAGCCAGGTGTTGCAGTGCATGAAAGAGAAACCCGGGTGGTGGGACCAAAAAGAGGCGTAGGTCCCAATGGCCGTAGGCACTGGATAGTGTCACAAGCCGAGTCACAAGAGTTTTCTGTGGAAGGAAGGGCAAGGGGGCTGCTGTCCTGCCTTCCTCTCACAAAGGAATGTCTACCTCCTCATGATGAAGCATTTCTCATCATTTTGTTAGCTTTGCTTGGGGGGAGGAGTCCCAAGACTTTTATGTCAACACCAAGGAACCATAAATAAGGGCCAAAAGGGAGATGTAAACATGCCAGGCTGTAGACATCACACACACAACAGCTTTATGGGGGAGACAAAACAGATCAGTCCTATTGGGTGGGTGGGTGTGTGTGTGTGTGGGGGGAGACTCCTTGTTCCTGTCACTTCCTGGTCTCTCTATTCAGGCCTGGAGGCCTGGCTGGCAATAGACAGGCTATGAGAGAGAGAGAGAGAGAGAGAGAGAGAGAGAGAGAGAGAGAGAGAGAGAGAGAGAGAGCGTCCTCACTCCGTGTCACACACAACTATTTGCACATGCTTCTGATTTTACGTGAGTACCACAGTGTCGCCCTGTGCTATTACTCCAGTCCAGTTTCAGTGAACTTAGACTGGAGTGGCTCTGCACCACGCCTCGGCTCCCCTGCAGCCTCCAGGCGGGGCTCTGGGGATCCCCCAGTGTTCCAGCTCAGCTCCAGACCACAGAGCTGCTCCCCTGGAGAAAATTGATGCTTTAGATGGTGGACTCTGTGGCATGGTGTCCTACCAAGGCCCCTGTCCTCTCCGGGCTCCACCCGCAAATCAGGCCACCCAAACCCTCCCATCCCCCACCAGCGGCCGGGGGGGGGGACCTGGCAACCCTACCTGGCCTGTATTTTCAAATAGTTTGTTGCAACTCAAGGGATGGTAGGGGGGGTCTAGTGCATTAGATAGGCGGCCGAGAGGGTGTAGAAAACGAAAGTAACATCTCTGCGAAGTTCACACAACAAGCAATAGGTGGCAAAAAAACCCCGAAGTCTTTGGTAGCAGGCTGTTGCTGCTTTGGCGCCTGGATGGGCTTAGCACTGTTTAGTGCAATGTGTTTGAAGGTCACAGAAAATTTGGGTTGGTAAGGCAAGGGAGTGAGCGAGAGAGATAGCCTGTTGGCAGCCAGCTGGTGGACTCCTGCTGTCCCCCCCCCGCGCACTAGGCGACCCCCCCTCCTCTTGCTGGCTCGCCACCCCAATCATGTGACCCTGCCACCACGACTCCCCCCCCCTAGTGCAGGCGCACTGCAGAGAGGCCTGCTGGCCTGCCCAATCTGCCCACTCCTCGCCAGCCCACTAGGCTCACTTGCCAGCTGCCCTGGCTGGCGCCTCGCCTGGGAGAAGGAGCCAGCTCCGGAATAGGCGCTTTCTGCTGCAGAGCTGGGCATGCACCGGCCTGCTCTCCTCCTGTAGTGAGGCAAACGAGCATGGCCAGCACTCCCGCCCTTGGGGGGGGTGAGGCGTGGCTCATGTCCCACCGCAGCTACGCCCCTGTCACCTCAGGAGCTTGTTGATGGAGAGACTGCATATAGGAAAAACATCCCATGCGCAGCACTGGTTTTTGTTCATGTTCCCTGGTCTTCCTCTTCCAGAGTTCTCAGGAGGAACAGGATTGAATGGATCCAGGAAGGGACTTTTAATGAGCTAAACAGGCTGGTGGAGCTGTGAGTATCTCCAGGGCTTTTTTTATATATATATAAAGAGATGCTGGAACTCTCAATAGGGAAACATTTCCAATCTGTACAACAGAATCTCACAAACTTTTAAACATTTTAAAAATAATTTTGTCAAAGAGGTTCTGGAACTCTGTTCCAGTGCGTTCCCCCAGAAGAGAAGCCCTGGCCAGGGGGCCATCTTAAGGCTTTCTGGTGCCTGAGGGAAAGAATTCAAGTGCTCCTCACATGTGAGTGGACCTGTCTGAGGGGCAGGCCTGTCCCTTTCCTACACTATGGTCTTCATTTGTGTATTCATATTTCCTTCATTGGTCCCCTGCCATTCTTTCCAGTGGGGGCTCACAGGCGCTTACATCGTTCTCTCTTCCATCTTGTTCTTGCAATAATCCTGAGAGGGAGGTGAGGCTGAGAGGGCGTGAGACTGGCCCAGGGTCACCCGGCAGAGGCTCCTACACGGCTGAGTGAGGATTCAGACCTGGGTCTCCCAGATCCTCCGTTGATGCTTTACCCACCACGCCACGGGGGCTTTAATGATACCCCAGACAGACCTGCCCGCTGAGTACACCCCCTCCACCTTATTGTAGGCTGATCATGCCACACCAAATTGATACTCTTTTCTTATGGATTGACCCAGTAAACATACATAAACTTTACTGCATTAGCTCATAGCCTTAGCAAGTTGCACTAAAAATATCAAAAACAGCCTCAAAACTATAATACAATGATCACACAATAACAATCAAAACTCTTAATATCCATTACAATTTTATAAACAATTATTAAAATTGTAACAACAGCAATTTAAATTAAAAACAGCACCAAGTCAACCAGTCGGCCAGCCTAATACATACATTCCTCGGAGGATGCATTAGCTGCATTAACAGTGGATGATTTTGGCAAAGCCTTTACTACCTAAGCGACAAACTTTGCCATTTGCAGGCAATATAGGTAATTAATCTGTCATTGTCCGCTCTCCCTAGATATTGTAATAAAATATTCCCAAGATGTCTTTCACATTCTAATGCAAATCTAGGCCAGTGGAGGACCATAGATCCTCAATAGATTTCTGGTCGCAAATACAGACACTTTTTTTAATGGGATCCCATTATATCAGCCTCTTAACATCACCAATTGTAAAGTAGCCAACCGTGCTTTGGTAAATGCTTTCCTATACTTGGAGTCTGATAAATCGGTAACATAAGATGGAAGGGTTAAAGGAGAAGGTGCAAGTTGCTTGTAAAGGGGAGCTGTTCTCAAGGTACTTATCTGTTATGTATTGAGCCTGAACGGTCCTTGCAAAAGGCCTGAGCTTGGGGATGCATAACAATAGATCACTAGAATCCTAGAATGGACCAGTAGGGAGACAGGGATCCTAGAGTAAACCAGCTGGGAAACAATAGAGTGTAAATAGCCTATTGTTGGGAGTGGGGTGTGTTTTGGGTGTAACCCTTTTCAGGCATAAAATACCCGGCTTCGGCCAGGGATACCCAGTCTTCTTTCTCTTGCTGAATCACTAATAAACTATGAGCTGATCACGTCTACGCATCTGAACCCAGTATATTTCACTGGTGACGAAGGTGGGATCCCAATGAGCGAGCCTGACCCAGCCTCCAGCACCGCACCGCGCAATGATCTCCAGGACTCCACACCTCGCATTGCTCCACAGGGCATGGCTGCCACTCCGGGAATCATTCCTGCGTTCGACCCCACTCACCCTGAGCTTTGGGAAGCATGGGTGGAGCAGCTGAAGTACTTTGTTCGGTTCCAAGGCATAGACGACGTCGACAAGAAAAAATCGCTTCCGATCAGCACATGTGGCATCGCCACACTACGCCTAGGCCAGGGCCTCATCACTCCTAAAGCCCTTGAAGAAGCCACGTACAATGAACTCATCAAGGCCCTCACCAGCCATTTTGCGCCTCAACCAACCAAGATGGTGAAGTGCATGGACTTCTTGGCATGCCACCAAAAGTCCGGTGAAGCGACCACCAACTTCATGGCTGATCTCCGCAGGCTGGCCATAAACTGCGAGTTCCCAGATCTTGGACAAGGTACTACGCATGGCCACGGCTTTTGAAAAGGCACAACGGGATTGCCAGGCCCACTCATCCCCAGTCTCCGATGCCTCGGACATCAGGCCTCCACACATCAGGCCTCCACATCCCCAGTCTCCGATGCCTCGGACGAGGAAGAAATACTCCAGGTATGTCACCCACCGTCCGTGACCGCCCCACAGCCCGTGAAGACTATCGCTCAAGTGCCTTGCGCCAGTTGCGGTGAAGAACACGAACGCCGTTCCTGCCATTTCCACGACGCGATCTACTGAACCTGCAGAAAACAAGGCCACATCGCACAAGCCAGCCACATCGCACAAGCTTGCCCCTTCCAAGGAAACTGGCATCGTCCAACTGCTCACCAGAAATCCGTAGAGCCGTCCACCAACACCAGGTACTACACTTGCCCCAGGACACCCCTAACAAAATTAAAATAACCATGTTGATAGATTGTGAAGTGGAGTTGGACATGGGGTCCTCCATCTCCATCATATCAGAAGAGACCCTCAGAAGGCTCTGCCTGCAAGGGGGTCCCTGCCTAAAACCCGCTGGCTTCACCCTCAGAGACTTCCAAAAGAGCCCGGTGGCCATTAGAGGGTGGGGCAAGTTCCATGTGCAGTATAAGAACTTTGAAGGACTTTTAGATTTGGTGGTGGTGGAAGGGCAGCTTACTGGTTTACTGGGTCTGTCGTGGTTTGCTCCCCTGGGGTTTGGGGTAACGGGGGTGCATCATGTGCGGCCTACAAACTTCAGCAACGTGTGCAATGAGTTCCCGGCTGTTTTTGATGTGACGCTTGCTACATCGGTCCGCCAGTCTCCCTGGACCTCGACCCCGCTGTCCACCCCATCCGTATGAAGGCCAGGCGCATCCTGTTTGCATTGTGGCCCAAAATAGACGAAGAGCTGGATGGCCTGGTAGTGCAGGGGGTTCTAGAGCCAGTGCCACATGCCCTCTGGGAGACCCCCATCGTCACCCCAATGAAGCCCAACAGGGACATCTGTATCTGCGTGGACTACAAGTGCACCATAAACAAAGCCCTGCAGGACCACGCTTATCCCATTCCAGTAGTCAGCCATGTTTTGGCATCCTTGGCGGGTGTGAAGGATTTTGGCAAATTGGACTTGGCCCAGGCGTACCAGCAGCTCCCAGTAGACAATGCCACCGCAGAGGCCCAGACAATCGTGATGCACAGGGGTGCGTTCCGGGTGCGATGGCTGCAATTCAGGGTCAGCGTGGCCCCGGGGATCTTTCAAAATCTAATGGACTCTCTCCTTAAAGGTATCCCTGGGGTCCAGCCGTTCTTCAACAATGTTTTGATCACTGCCCCCACGGCCGAGACCTTCACTGACAGGGTGCGCCCCGTTGGGCAACGTTTCCACACTGCTGGTCTGAAGGTTAAGTGGGGAAAATGTCTCTTGGGGGTTCCACGAGTTGAGTTCCTGGGTTTCTCAGTTGATGCTGAAGGCATCCATCTGATGCCTCACAAGAGAAGAGGAAGAAGAGATTGGATTTATACCCCACCCTTCACTTGGAGTCTCAGTGCGGCTTACAACCTCCTTTCCCTTCCCCTCCCCACAACAGACACCCTGTGAGGTAGGTGGGGCTGAGAGAACTCTGACACAAACTGCTCTTTCAGGAACAGCTGTGCCAGAGCTTGTGACTGACCCAAGGTCACATCAGCAGGTGCAAGTGGAGGAGTGGGGAATCAAACCCAGTTCTCCCAGATTAGAGTTCGCGCACTTAACCACTACACCAAACCGCGCACTTAACCACTACACCAAGGTCCGCACCATCTTTGATGCTCAAACCCCCTCCTCTAAGCCGGAACTCCAGGCCTTCTTGGGACTGCTGAAATTCTATAATTCCTTCTTGCCCCACAAGTCTGCAATTGCTGAACTCTTGCACTGCCTTGTCGATAAAAAGCTCCTTGGGTGTGGGGCCAGAAGCATGCTGCCGCGTTCCGGGCTTCAAGGACCTGCTCACTTCCAATGCAGTCCTAGCGCACTTCAACAAGACGCTCCCCATCGTCCTCGCCTGTATGGGGTTGGGGCCATCCTAGGCCACCAGCTGCCTGATGGCTGCAAAGTACCCGTGGCCTACTACTCCCACACCTTGTCTTCGGCCGAGCGCAACTATGCGCAGATTGACAAAGAGGCGCTGGGGACCGTGGCAGGTGTCAAGAAGTTTCATGACTACCTCTACAGCCAGCCTTTCACCATCGTGACAGACCACAAACCCCTCCTGGGTCTGTTGGCTCCTGATCGCCAGACACCACAAATGTTGTCCCCCAGGGCGCTCCGTTGGTCTACCTTTTTGGCCGGCTACCAGTATGCGCTCCTCCACAGGCCCAGAAAGGCAATGGGTCATGCAGACACCCTCAGCTGCCTCCCACTGCTATCCTGTGACCCGGACCTGGCGCCTGCACACCAGATCCTGCTCCTCGAGGACCTGCCTGACCATCCCATCCAGGCACCAGACATGTCCTGCCACACCGCACGGGACCGCATGCTCTCCCGCATTTTGGAACGGGTGGGGAGGGGTTAGCCCATCAGTCGGGTGGGCTCAGAGTTCTTCTCACACCGTGACAAACTGTTGGCCCACAAGGGCTGCTTGTTGTGGGGAAGCCAGGTGGTTGTGTGTATGAAGGTGTTGGCCCGCAGCTATGTTTGGTGACCCGGCATGGTCAGCGAAATCGAGGACTGTGTTAAATGCTGCCAGATGTGCCAAGAGTCCCAGCCGGAGCCTCCCAGGGCCCCGGTGCATCAGTGGGAATCCTCCCACAAGCCATAGACCCACCAGCACCTCGACTTTGCAGGCCCATTCCAGGGCCAGATCTTCATCCTGGTGGATTTATACTCCAAATGCCTAGATGTGGTGCCGGTCCCCTCCACATCGTCCTGAGCAGCAATTCGCGTCCTGTGGCGGATCTTCAGCACACATGGCATACCAGACATTGTTGTAATGGACAACGGGACGGCTTTCACCTCATCTGAGTTTTAGGAATTCACGGACTACTATGCCATCCAACACATCCGCTCTGCTCCTTTCCACACTGCTACCAACAGCCAGGCTGAGCGGATGGTGAGGACAACTCTTGGAGGGACGATTCCCCGGGGCACTCAAGGAAGCGATGGTCCGCCCTCTTCTGAAAAAGCCATCTCTAGACCCGGCCGAATTGGCCAACTATCGGCCGGTGTCCAATATTCCCTTTTTGGGCAAATTGATAGAGAGAGTGGTGGCAACACAGCTGCAGGCATTTCTGGATGACACTTCTGTCCTCGATCCCCACCAGTCCGGGTTTCGCCCTGGTCATGAGGTGGAGACTGTTCTGGTCGCACTGACTGACGACCTCCATAGGCATCTGGATCAAGGCGGTGTGGCGGCACTGTTGTTGTTAGACCTGTCGGCTGCTTTTGATACGGTCGACCACCAGTTGCTGGCCCACCGCCTTGCCGACTTGGGGATTCAGGGGCTTGCCCTTCAATGGCTGGTCTCTTTTCTCCAAGGTCGGGGACAGAGGGTGGCGATAGGGGATCAGCGGTCCCGGAGGTGGCCCTTTGAATGTGGTGTACCTCAGGGGGCAGTGCTATCCCCGATGTTGTTTAACATCTACATGCGCCACCTTGCCCAGATTGCCCGGAGTTGTGGGCTGGGGTGTCATCAATATGCTGATGACACCCAGCTGTATCTGATGTTGGGCGGCCAGTCAGATTTCACTCCCGATGACCTTAGTCGGGCGTTACAGGCCGTGGCTGGGTGGCTCAGACTGAGTCGGCTGAAATTAAACCTGGCAAAGACGGAGGTCCTGGGGCTGAGTCGGATCGGTCCTGGGTTGGGGCTCCCTCTCCCGACCTTCGACGGGGCGCCCTTGGTGCCGGCGTCGGAGGTTAGGAGTTTGGGGGTGCTCCTGGACTCCTCTTTAACTATGGAGGCCCAGGTAGCAGCCACTGCCAAGTCGGCATTTTACCATCTTCGGCTGGCACGGCAGTTGGTTCCCTTCCTCGACCGGGAGGACTTGGCCACTGTGATCCACGCGACGGTCACCTCGAGGCTAGACTACTGTAACGCTCTCTACATGGGGCTGCCTTTGTCGCAAATTCGGAAGCTGCAACTAGTGCAGAATGCTGCAGCCAGGCTGTTGATGGATCTTCCTAGACGAGATCACATCCAGCCTGTGCTGAAAGCGCTGCACTAGTTGCCTATAGCGTACCAGGTTCGCTTCAAAGTGCTGGTTATTACCTTTAAAGCCCTATATGGCCAGGGAGCAGCCTACTTAAGGGACCGCCTTTCCCCACATGTTCCCCCAAGAGCACTACGGTCGGGGAATCAGAACTTACTGGATGTGCCAGGTCCCCGGGTCATCAAACTCGTCATGACCAGGAACAGGGCGTTTTCGGTGGCGGCTCCTATCTGGTGGAACGAGCTCCCAGAGGAGATCAGGGCTCTGCAGGACCTAGCACAGTTCCGCAGAGCCTGCAAGATGGAGCTCTTCCGCCAGGCGTTCGAATAGGAGTCGCCATCGCCATTGTACCACCGCCCCATGATTTCTGTACAGGGTCACCATGATGCGGGCACTTTGGATGACAATGGGACATTTTAGGAGACGACCATCTTGTTTTTAGGAGAGGAGCACCAAAATTTGTTTATGAATGTGATGTGTTTTAATATTTTTAATGTTTTTATTGTTCTGTTGTATGATTTGGCGATATGCCGTGTAAGCCGCCCTGAGCCTCCGGGGAGGGCGGGATAAAAATGTAAATAATAAATAAATAAATAAATAAAATAAGGAGTCCCTCTGCAGGATCGTTCAGGGGAGCTGAGGCCACCAGCTGGCAGTTTTCCTCTTCGGCCAGAGGGTAACCCCAAACACAACCACTGGCCACATCCCCACAGAACTCCTGATGGGAAGATGCTTCACAACCTATCTTGATCAATTGCACCCAAACCACGCTCCGGAGCACAGCTCGGTCCCAGAGAATCAAGTCGCTCCCCGCGGGCACTTCCCGGGCGACCCCGTCTATGCATGCAACTTCGCCAGTGGCCCAGCCTGGGTCCCCGCCAAGGTTATCAGGGTGACCGGGCCTCTATCATATGAGGTATCCACAGAAGATGGCCAGAGGCTCCGCTGACACATAAACCAGCTCCGTAGCTGTCTCCCCCCCGCTGAACCCAGGATACACACACCAGAAGATAGTGACGAGGATCTGCTAAGCCTTGAGGAGCCGGAGCCTGAGGAGAACACACCCACCAGCAGCATCCAGTTGGTAATGAACAGACAGCCTTCGGAGGCTGCTGGCGGAATGCCAGCACCGGCCGCCACCGGTGGCCCCGACAACGTCCCGGTGCCAACACCCTCTCCCAGTCCGGTGGCGGGTCTGGCCCCCAACTCGGTTCCTGAATCTGCAGCCCTGTCAGTGGAACCACACCACTCGAACCGTGAGCAGCACCAACCAGCTTACTTAAAGGACTTTGTCAGTTGAAGAGGCTCTGAACTTTGGGTGGGAGGGGTGTTATGTATTGAGCCTGTCTGTATTGAGCCTGAACTGCCCTTGCAAAAGGACTGAGCTTGGGATGCATAACAATAGATCACTAGGATCCTAGAATGGACCAGTAGGGAGACAGGGATCCTAGAGTAAACCAGCTGGGAAACAATAGAGTGTAAATAGCCTATCGTTGGGAGTGGGAGGAACTCCTTTGCATATTAGGCGACACACCCCTAATGTAGCCAATCCTCCAAGAGTTTACAGTAGCTCCTGTAAGAAGAGCTCTGTAAGCTCTTAGAGGATTGGCTATATTAGGGTGTGTGTCACCTAATATGCAAATGAGTTCCTGCTACAAAAAGAGCCCTGGGTGTAACCCTTTTCAGGCATAAATACCCGGCTTCGGCCAGGGATAGCCAGTTGTCAGGCTTCCCAATCAAACACTCAACAATGTTCCTTTGTGGGTTTCTGTTTATTGAGGTTAGTACTGGAGATACCATGTACTCTCGTGTCAGGAATGACAGGTACCAAAATGGTGGTTACAGTTATACCCCCTTCAAACCAGACCCCCTGATGCATTAAGCCCAATAAGCAGGCACCTGTGAGCAGGGGCTAAAAGCAGCAGTTATGTTCCCAGCGGGAAAAGCATACTAGGCAGAGGCAGCCCTTCAAGGCCACTAGGCAGATAACTTGGACAGCAGAGACGCGGGGAAGATGAGGAGGCCAAGCTCCCCCTCCAGATTCCATTACATGGCAGCACTAGCTGACACCAGTCTTCTGTCTCTTGCTGGATCACTAATAAACTATGAGCTGATTACTTCTACGCATCTGAACCCAGTATATTTCACTAACAGTGCGGTGTCTACCTGAACACTCATATCTTGCAGTCCTTGTTTTGTTAATTGCTTTGCTGCAGAAAAGTCAAGCCCTCTTAAATACTCTTCTGAGAATCCAAGTCCGGATACGAGATTCAATATATAACTTTGCCAGGGATTACTTTTTTCCTTTAGCGTAAACCATGGTTAAAAAACTTTAACTTAAACCAGACCGGATTTTCAACCAATAATTGGTAATAGCTTTATGGGCTGAGGCCAGTATTGGCTGCAGAGGCACTTCCAGTCTGACTATGGCTGCTGGCATTGAATTGGGGACTGCTAATAGCACATGAATAAACTTATTCTGAATGACTTCCAATGGTTGCAGATTTCCAGTCCCCCAAATTGAGGCTCCATATAATATCTATGGCCAGGGGTCATTTCATAGAAAAAGAGGTGCAGGAGCTCATTAGCATAACTCATTAGCATAACATATTTGCATATGCCACACCCCCTGACATCACCGGAAGTGTGTCAGAAGGCAATACCCACCGCTCAGGCTCCACTGGACTGTTTTGGATTGCTAGCTATTGGGGGGGGGGAATGTGCAGATCTGCCCTCACGGAGGAGGGAGAGCTTGTACCTGAACAAAACTTGGTCTTAAAGGTGCCACTGGACTGTTTTGGATTGCTAGGTATGGGGGGGGGACGTGCAGATCCGTCCTTGCAGGAGGGAGAGCCTGTACCTGAATAAAACCTGGTCTTAAAGGTGCCACTGGACTGTTTTGGACTGGGGGCCCGGGGGGAGCTCCGCAACTTACCTGGCTGCTTCTTGCTCTGACTGAGGGCTGCTGGGAGCAGGGGGTGGGGCTTGTTGCATGTGCCCGCCCCCTTGGCTCTTTACTGCCGGAGCTCCGCTCCTGTGCGCTCCTGCAGGAAATGACCCCTGTCTATGGCAATATCATGGTCCTATAGACTTTAACACTGGAGGTACCAAATAGCATCCCCTTGTTCTATAGAATCTAAAGATACCAAGTATAACCTTTTCAAATTTCCTCTTTGCATACTTGATATGTGCTGACCAGGAACCGGAGCTATGAAAATTTACCCCAGTATAACTCAAGCATATCCTTACATGGACAGAGCTGAAGAATCAATGTGTTGGTGGTGGTTGTTTTTTTTTTTAAAGAAAACAACATTGCTGGCTCTCTACAGCATGAAATCTGCCATTGTGACTGGTGTATTTGGAGATGAGAGTTAGTATGTCTCAAGTACAGATCCCTCTGTGTTGAATCAGCTAAAGCTGCCAGGTCCACTTGGACGATTCTCAGCATCAATCCAAGTCCTCTCCAATAGAATCCCCAGGAGGACCCCTGAGCACATGAACAGCAGGGTCAGCAGCAGACTCAGTCCCGCCTCTCTTCTCAACAGTGATTTGTCCTCCAACCGGCTGAAGGAGCTTCTGCCATCAACACTGAGGGGCCTCCAGGAATTGCAGCAGCTGTACGTATCTCCTCCGGCCCCACTTGTAGCCAAAAGTGACTGGTTTGGAACAGATTGGAGCCAAACAAATTTCAGGGCAATACTTTGGCTACTTCTGTTGAATCGAATTTGCTATCATAAAGCTGAATGGATATTCTACTCATTCAGTTTGTTTCACATATGAGCAAAGCACTTCTTGGAGGGGGCAGTGTAGGTATAGTCATTATTAACTCTCCCCAGATTATTTTTATGCCCCCTACACAAGTCTCTGCCTCTTTTCTTTTTTTGTAGGAATATTTCAAATAACCCTCTGCATGTGATCTTTCCGGATGAATTTGACAATGTGCCCCAGCTGCGCTCTCTGTGAGTACCCACACAGACATCCGTTCTGGACACACACAGGGGCCCTGCCAACCGCCAGGTGGGTGCTGGAGATCCCGCAGAACGACACCCCTTGGAGGAAATGGCTCCTTTGGAGGGCAGGACTCTGTGGCCCAACCCCTCTCCAAATCCTGCCCTCCCCGGGCTCCTCCCAAAAATCTCCGGGAACTTCCCAACCCCGACCTGGCAACACTGATTTCTGGACTGTACTCTACTGATGCAGACAAAGGAATGGTAAGAAACTGCTTGATGAGGTTACTCTTTCGTTTAACAGGAGCATGGAAGGTCTGGAAATTCCCAACATCCACGGCCGCATGTTTGAGAAACTCAGAAATCTGTCACACATGTAAGTAGCTCAGAAAGGCACACTACAGAGTTCGAATTCTGGAGGCCAAAAGGCTACCTCGTCCAACCCAGCAGTATGGCAGGAAAGTCCACTAAGCAGCCCCTGGCAGGTGTTGCTGCCCAGGCAGGACAGACCTGCTCTCACAGCCCAATACGCAGAGGGCAGAGGTGCCCAGTCCCTGGGAGTCCAGTCCCAATTTTAACAGAAAAACCATCAAGAACTAGAAGTTCTCCAAGCAGTATTTTAAACTAATCACAGAAGTGGCTCTTGCCTTTTATGAAAAAGTAATTAGAGTTCATCTAGCACTGGCAATATGTTAACTGAACACACGACCAAATTTTACTTCTTACAGCTGTTAACTATTTTAGCAAAACCTTGCACTGTCCTTGCAGTACGGGCATTAACTAGCTTAGCATCAATAGTGAACAATCTCTGTATTTGTTTGTCCTGACTAGATTTGAATTTTACATAACCAGAGCTGCTTTGCACTTCCTGCTTTTCACGGCCCCTTGATTCTCCTGCTTGGTTATACACCCCTCTGTAGAAAGGTCTGCCCTGCCCAGTGAGGATCCACTGACTGTGTCCAGAGCAGGGGGCTCTAGTTGGTGGACACGGAGTCTGGAATAACAGTTTGTTAGCCATCGAGGGGCCACAAGACTCCTGTTGAGGTGTGTGTGGCAAAATGTATACGTTGCCTGTTTGAAGAGGGTATGGTTCTGCTGTGCACCAGCACTGCAATGCCCCCCCCCATATATATTATTAGAACAAAGGAAACGTATTTGGGGGAGGGGTGGGATGGGAGCTGAAGCAGTTGCACCAAAGCTAGGCACCACTCAGTGAGGGTTTCTTTCAAACAATCCCTGAATCCTGAAGGAATCCTAATCAAAGTACTCCTGACTACTGACGTGACTGATGGGTCATATTCTCTATTGATGGAAAACACTGCGCTGTGTTTATGGGGCTTGACCTTTCAGTGCCCAAATACTCCTTGGCAAAGTGTTACATGATCATGCCAGAGATCATGCAGGCTGCCGTTTGGTGCACCTTGTAAAACATTTAAGCCCATTGGTCCAAATGCAATTAGCTGACATGATTTAAAGTTAATTAAGCATCATTATCTCTTTATTTAAAGCGTTTCTCTATCAGTCTGGTAGCCAGAGGCTCTCTTTGGGTCCTATAGAATGCATGATGAAGGAAATCACTTACAATTGCTCTTCCCACCTGGGAGACGCTTAATTCCTGTGCATCTTAAAGAATTTGGCCTCTGCAGGAACTTTGAGTAAAGCTACCTTTCGAGATCTTGCTCAGGACTGTGCAGGTATTGCATGGTGATTTCGGATTGCCAGCCTCCAGTTGGGCAAACATAAAGAAACACCGTGTTAGAACAAAACACACTCTACTAATATGCACTTGTGTCTTCATATATTGATTTAAATACAATAGAGACCCTAGTATATCTTATACACATTCATTATAGTACAAAAACCTAAAGTACATTATATATCTACTAACAGAAAAGTCCACAGCTACTGAGACCTATTCCAAGCTGTAGACTATCTTGCTCCTGATAAGAGACTGATGGAGGTTACAGCCGTCGTAAAGGATGATAGGTGCAGCAGGCTGTGTTATGTTCTCCACAAAAAGTGATTCAGCAAACATCAAAGCAAGCATGAGAGATGCAGCGGGCAGTTATATTTTCCACACAAAGTGACACAGCAAGCATCAAAGCAAGCAACACACCTCCTAGGCAAAAATTGCGTGTTTCGACAGATTCTTCTTCGGGCAGACATTTTTTCTATAGAATTGTTGACTTATGCACTGTAAGATTGTGAGCTTTGGTTCCAGGAAAAATATGTCTGCCTGAAGAAGAATCTGTCTACAAAAGGGCTGGTGGCAGCTCTTGCCACAACTCGGACAGCAAAGGACCCTCAGGCCCTGGAAAGATTTTTCTTCACAAGAGTTGCTACATTTAGTATCGGGACTAGCCCTTATTTCCTTAGAGGATTTCTCATATGGGACCTGTCTTTGACAGACTGAGCTTGTGAAGAAAAATCTTTAGAAACTAGGAAGTAACATTACAACTTTAAGATAACTCTTACACAATATAAGTTAACTTGCTTCTGAGGAAGTTAAGATACGAAACCAAGCAAAAGCCGGCTGCTTTATCAAGTTCTACATTCCTTTGACTATTAACAGCACATGTCCTGAAATTCCACAAAAAAATTCCAGCTGTTGGCAGCAATTGGTATTTATCTACTTGCAATTTCTTGCTTTCGAACTGCTAGGTTGGCAGGAGCTGGAACTAGAGACAGGAGCTCACTCCGTCATGCGGCACACTCGGGTCTCGAACTGCTGAACTACCGACCTTCCACAGCCTGCAGTTCAGCGTCTTAACCACTTGAGCCACTGCAGCTCCTCTTAAATATTGTATACTTAGATACTATTTTCAAGTATAAAAGTGATTGTATTAGTGTTTAGAGTGTATTATTGGACTGATTTTGGCCCCAGTTTTGTTGTCTTTGGAGTCCCATCTGCTCAGCAGCCTGCCCCAGTGGGAAGGCTCCCCCCCCCCCCCCGGTCATGGCATCTGCTCCAGGCAGTAGCCAAAAGGGACTTGGGGAGGAGGAGAGGAAGTCTGAGGAGGGGGGGTTCCAGGACCGATCTCGGCCTGCTCAAGGCTTGTAAGAACTTCAAGGCCCCCTTCCTGCCTCTGACAGCTACCTGAAGAAGTTCCACTACTGCAGCTTTGCCCCCCATGTGCGCCTCTGCAAGCCCCACACCGACGGGATCTCCTCCTTCAAACACCTCCTGGCCAGCCCCGTCCTCCGCGTCTGCGTCTGGCTCGTCGCCTGCCTCACCTGCTTCGGGAACCTCTTTGTCATCTGCCTGAGGTCCTTCATGGTTCCGGAAAGCAGCACCCACACGATGGCCATCAAGTCTCTCTGCTGTAAGGCGGGGGGTGGGGTGGGGGTGG